TTGTAGGTCCCTTCTAACTGAAATAATCTATTCTATTCTATTCTGAGGTTGCCAGACCAGTTCGCAGCCAGAGCACATGAAAATGTAATTTAATGGAAACAGAAACCCTTAGGTTTTGGGTATTTTAAAAAAATAGAAAGTTAAAGCTGTATTCAGAATATAGAAGGGCCTTGAGCAGGGCAGTCAGCTCCCTTTTTTCCTTGGTCATTTTACAGAAGACAGGTTTTATGTCCTTTTGCTCTTGAGCACCTTAACCATTTAAGAGAGTTGAGATCAATCTGTTTTAGCTGTGAAAGACTTGCCCAATCAAGCCATCCTAAAAGCATGTATTTTCCAGCACATCGGCATGGCTCAACACTTGAAGCAAGAAGCTAGCAATGATAATATTAGGATTGACAAGAAAGAAGGATATCAAGAGTGTCCTGAATGTGGGCTCCGACCTCCCTGGCTACTGGGGTTGGATCAGGAAGAGTGCAGGCTTCTGTCCTTTGGGCAAGTAACCCTCTGTTCACCAACTCAAATTACCCTTTGATCCTAGTAGTTGAGCTTCCATCTGCCGTAGCTGGTTCTTAAGCTGAGGTGACTGAGGCCAGACAAGACTTAATCCATTCAAGACTGATTTCTTCCTGCCTGAGCCTAGAAACCTTTTCAACATATGCTGTTGGACCCTTAGGAGGAGAAATGAATTAATCCATTCTTTAGAGGGTTATGATACGTGGAAGCAAAATGAAGGATGGCAGCAGTAGAACAGGAAGAATGGAAAACGTGCATCTCCAGAGAAGCAAATGAATGATAGAGGGCTAGTAGTTATTCCTGGAAGATTATTATCTTCAGTTGTCCTGCAGTACATCAACTAACTAAATAAATGCAACAGCCACATCCTGCAGATAGTCGGCTGAAGATGAAATCTGCAAGAATCCATCAGTGTTATTGTCTAAGGTCCTTACCTTTGTTTCAGTTCCATTCAGTACCTGTTGTATCTTCACTTTTCAGTTTCTGTCCCGCTTTCATGTCACTTGGAACCTGGCTAATTTGTCCCTCTATTTCTCTGCCAAGTTTAATGCAGATTCTGAACTAAGAACAGATGGTATTAATCTGATATTAATCTCAGTTGCCTCATGACTAGATCAGTGTGAAGAGTTAGAAATTATATCTGTGTAATACGGTGTTATATTTGAAACTGAAAAATCCAAGCTGAAGCTGATCGAGCTTTCTTAATTAGGCTACTAAATGAAACGAACATAAAATCCTTTGTGCAGTTTCCATGTGTGTTGATAAATGTTTGGAGCATGAGTGTAGTTGCTGTCTCTGGGTCTTTCACCAATCACCGTGGCATATAGCTGTGCTTTGGCACTAATCTAATGTCATCTAGAATTATGATGTACAAGTGGGAATCTAAGTTGCATGGTGGCAGAATATAGGGTTTGTTTTGCAGTGGTGGAGGTTTTCACTATCTCAAGATGCACACATGCTGACAATACTCCTTAAAAGAGACTCTAGGATGATACTAAGATCACTTGATAAAAACAGTAAGAAATAGGGTTTTATGATAATCAGGAAGTAATAGATAAGGTGTCGTATAATCTAGGGTAGGTTGAGAAGCAAATCTAGAACTACAGAATTTTGGGGAGAAAGTATTCTGTCTTTGACAGATATTGGGAAAGCTGTTTATATTGCTTTCTGTCATGTGAAAAGGAATTGCCATGTTGAAGTTTTTCCTGCCAACAATTTTTCTTCTTGACTTCTGTCAAGCTGCCCTAATGAAAAACTAGTGTTAAAGAATATTACTACTAAATTTAAGTTGCTCACATTAAAATTTGCCTTTGATTAACAAATGCTCATCAGAAGCTGGAAATTGCTAGAAAGTAATCTGAACTTAATGCAAATATGAAATGTGACTGGAAAGTGAAATAATTTTGTGGATCATAGTAATATTTTGTACTTGTATGAAAATAAATATATGTATCAATGAGAAATATCAATCTCTTCTCACAGTTTTAAAATATGCTGGGTAACTTAAAGATCATAATCTGACAGATAAAACTACCTTTTGTGAGATTTTTTTCATTTGAAGTATGTAAACTTTCAGCTGTCTACTTACTGTTTATTCTCTAAATGAGATGATTTGGTAAGAATTAAAAATATTTTAATGCTATACTGTCTTACCCCTGCATGTTTTCCAGTGGTTTGCTACTGCACCTGCATGAGTGTCTTTTAAATAAGTAAATTAACTAACTAAATTAATGGCATGATCAACTTACATTCTACTTTTTTTTTTTATAAGCTATCTTTGCTGTTGCTCAGCGAGATGAACAGCAGCTATGAAGAAGACTCTGATACCTTGTCCTAAAATTTCTCCTATGTCATCCTTCCAATTTACCCACTGTGAACAGACTTTGTAGCTTATAGAATATGAGCTTATTTAGTTAGCTAGAAATATCTGATTTCTGTTGCAGCCAGTTAAAAGGATCAGCTTCTGACCTCTAGTGTTTTGAATGTTGCAAGAGGAAGTTACAGCATGACTTTTCTTTGAAAAGTATGTTTGTAGAAAATGGCATTGCAGGGTTCCTTTTTTGTGCTAAATGCATTTTTGTGAATTGTCAGCCCTATAAAATCTGAGTTCTGAAAGGAAACCTGAAACTTATTTGCCCTTCACTAATAATGATGATCTTGCAAGCCAGGCTTATGCCCTATGTTCAGCTCCACTCGACTGGAGCTAGAGTCAGTTCTTCCATGAGCAAATTTACATGTCAAATTATTCTGTGATATCTGCATTAACTTTACAGTGTTATTTATGGAATAAAAAGTAACAATAAAAACACTTAAATATAATGAAAGTGTTTAACTCCCAATATGGTATGCTCTGTGGTATACACTAACAGCTTCCGGCTACTTGTGCAGTGCCAAACTTAAGCTAGAAAATGTTATCGCTTCTGCTGTTACTTTATACTGACTTAACTTGGGAATGCCAGTTTCATGTCCTCTTGTGCATCCAGTTTGAATGTAAGCTCAGCTATTTATTACGCTTCCATTTTAAAAGGGCTGTGGCACCTATCTTCTATTGATGGTAAAACCTTTCTTTTACTCTTGCCTTTTGATACTATCGTGTATGGTTACATAGTAATTTGGAGTCCATAGAACAAGAGGCTTAAATGGAAAAGTCAGGGTTTCAAACAGGGAAAGGACTTAGACAAGCATTTCTCCCATATATTCCTGCTACCACAAGAGATCAGGTCATTCTTATTGCCTGGAATCTTAGTTTCTGACAGCAATGAAACTTTCTCTATACATAGATGTAAACAGCATTATTTTTGATCTGCAGCTATGTTGCTTCTGTTTCGGTTTCTCCAGTACCAATAGTCATGCTTGTAAAGGGAGATGATGGGTTTGTGGGTGTGTTTTTAACCTATTTAGGACAGGAAAAATTAGTAATGTTGTTAATGTTAATTTTTTTTTTGTGAATTTGAGCCATAGGTTGCCCTGGAAACTAGGTTCAATATGGATTTATGCATTAAAGGATCTTGTGCCTCCATGTTGCAGATTCTGTGAATGAATAGTGAATATGACAAAGTTATTTTTCGAGTAATATTGTATATGCATGCCTTGCTGCAAGAAAAACAAAGTCTGAAATTAGAGAAATTGCTTTGAGGTTGCCAATACTGACAGTGTTGGCAAGCTTGTTCTCTTCATGCAACAAAAGGGTTTGGAAGGGGGTATGTTGTCCCTCCCCCTAATGTCCTGGTACATGTTCTGTCCTGGTGTTGATATTTCAGAGGGATGTTTTAAAAGAACCTCTACATTAAAGCTTCTTGTCTTGTATTTTGAAGAACATTTGACAATAAAAGGTATTTAAATTCTGTTTGCAAATGACTTTGAACTTTCCTGTTGTTGAAATTAATTGTTTGCTTTCTTCAAGTATAATTAAAACTTCAGCAAAATGAGCTACAGGTAGAAAAAACAGATATTCCCATTATATTTGTATTTCTGTAATATATTGGTTGTATGTGACTTACAGTCAAGGTAAAGATTTATATAAAATCAAGGTGCTTCTGTCCTCTAAAGCTGGTGGCTGCTTCAGAAATTACTCAGCTGGAAAAAAAAAACCAAACACCCAATGCTGCTCTTGACTTACTAGTAGCAAACTGAAGATGTGGGCTGCCTTCTCCATCAAGGGTGGTTATTTATCTCAGATCTGCCAAGTTTGGTTCAGTCACATTAGGATTCCCTTTAGAGACAAGCTGAAAGTCAGTGTTGCAGGCATTCCAGTGCAGTTGACACGTTCTTGAGCATCTTGAAACTTAGGAGCTGCATTTGGTTGACAAATGAGGGAAATCTCACATTCCTCTTCATCTCTTTTTTTTATTTTTTTTTTTTTTTTTTTACTTGCTGATTTTTCTCTATACCTCTCAGTATTGGTGCTAGGGAACATACCTCTCTTCACTTATGCTCTCTGGAACTCCTATATGATAAATACCACAATATTTTGTATGTTACAACTTTTTTTTAGGGGAGAAAAACGCTTGTCATATGTAGTGTTTCCCAGTGCGTGTCCTACAGTGAAAGGAAAGAGCATGTTTTGTTTACTTGTCGCTTGGAGACAAAGGGAAATTCCTTGTTACTAAATGAAAACTTTGTTAGTGAAAATAATGTATGCTAAGATATGTTCCATATATTGATAGTGTTCTGTAGGGGTGCTTTACTAAATTGCATATGCAACCTCATGTACATTGGATGTGAACTACACCTGTGAAGCTTTGTTAATTCTTCATGCTTCTCCATGGAATCCTGCCTGTACTATGGTTGGTATTGAGAGGGTCAACTTGGTCTGAGCTACTGACACACCTAGACGCCTGCTGTAACTCCAGCCAGATGAAAAGTGCTGGATGGTGTCTGTGAATAGTGTCTGTTCATGACAAAAATATGTGGACAGTTAAAATAAGATTTTTAATATAGTATATCTGTGAATAATTTTAATAAGATTCTCTTTTTAATCAAAACAGAAAGAAGAAGGAAAAATTCAAGGGCAGCTTAATAAATCTGATTCCAACCAGTACATCAGAGAACTGAAAGATCAGATAGCTGAGCTGCATCATGAGGTAAGTGATAAAATACTACTGTCTCTGATCAGTTGCACCTTTTGTCCTATCTTTCATTTGTTTTGCTTGTCTAATAGTTATTGCAGCTTCAGTACCTGATTTTGCCAACATACGTGATTTTAAATGAATGTAATAAAACTAACTCTCATACATGAATCTTGCCCTTATCCTGGTATGTAAGAGAACAAAAAATTGCTTAGTTAATGATTTGACATTGAATGAGATCAGCATTTATGTTCTGTTTTGTGTTTTTCCTTAATTCCATGAGTTGATCACATTTCACTGTTGCATTTACTGCATTTGGAGCTATGTGCATGAAAATATAAGCCCCTTTATGTCTTTATTAGCTACAACTTTTAAGGCTAATTTAGTTAGAAACTAAGCTGCATTTGTGCAAATAGTGTGTAGATTTTTTTGGTTCTTGCTGTCATGAGGATGAACTTTACATGGCAGTATACTGAGATTGCTTAAAAAGAAAAAGGATGCTTGCTTAATATCAGTTAACAGATTTTTAAGTTTTAAACTGCCAAAACCTTCAACCTATGAAATTTCTGTCTTCAAACTTCCTTGGTCTAATAGTTGTAGTAACTTTCTGTTAGTTAAAAAAATCAGAAGGTCCTGAAACCAAAATGGCTTATGTAACTACTGTGCTCACTGGCTCATTTCAGTTCATCCTGCATTGTGAAGAAATGTCTTTACCTAATACTACACTGTGTGCAAAATGCCCAGTCATCTTTGCATTTGTAGCCTGCTTCTGTTTCCATATGCCTTCTAATACACAGCTCTGATGGTGTTGCTTAAAACTGTAGTATCATAGAGCAAGTCATCCTAATTGTTTGTTGCCTTTTTGCTTTTGTTAAATAAACACATCCTTTCTTTAAGTGTAGGTGGTGTTTTCATAACAATCTTAGTGGATTCAACCTTTTAGGACTGATCCCTTGAGAGTTATAACATAGTGTAGCATCTTAGAATGCTGTCTATGCTATAGATTGAGGATAGTCTCTAGGGCCATCAGTCCAGCACCTTTACCAATCATTATGCTCACTTAAAACCAAATTTAAAAATCAATAACATGGCTTTTTCCATTAAAGGACTATAACTAGCTTGCTTTGTTCCTTATGAGTAAATAAGTTGCTTGTAGAATTCCCAGAAAGCCAGATATTTTGCATATTTTGCATTATGAATAAATAAGGCACTGTACTGACTTTTTCTTCTGGTCAGTGTAAGTAAAAGGTAATAAACCACTGCTTTGGAGGAAAAATAGAATTACTGTTGGAAAGCTGTTGCGTAATTTTCTCTATACAAGCATTTGTCATATATCTGGCTGAGCAACTGAATTGTCATGAGAGCATGTAATTTTGTACGTGTTTAATATGTACAAGTTTATGTGAACAGGTTGGAATGAAGATGACGTTTGTCAGCTCACAGAACAATGATAATTCTGAGTAATACCAGTGATTCCTAAACAGCTAAGTCTAGACAAATCTTTATTAGCATTTCAATTTGATTGAAAGAAAACATCAGCTAGGGAGAATATGAATTTCAACAATAGCAGAGTTTGAGTAATCCCATGTAGAAGGGCAGTCCTCATCCAGATGTGCGCTTTGTTGTGGCTTAATTTTTAATTTCCAAACTAGGTAAACACTATAGGAACAAAGTATCTCATTTTTTGATAGATAGAAACAGTAGGAAGAAACTCTGCATGTAGTAGACAAGTTCTACCTTGGCAGTATTTCTGAATGCTTCCTTTCACAGAATTTCTTAAAGCCTGGAAGTCCTTGTTTGCTAATGACTTACATATCTATTTGTATGGTTTTTAAATAAAAATCTGGGAGGGAAAGTAATACTTAATGCACAATCCTTTATTTTGAGCATAACCCATTGGGCTGATTTTGAGATAATGTAAGGTTAAGTCTGAAATGTATGTAGGTAAATTGGTGCCAATAAACAATTAAGCCTTGGATTAACGTAGCTACTAAGTAAAGAACTTTGCTTGCAGTGTTTCCTGAAACAGCAAAATCTGAATAAAGTGGCAATAGGAAGAGGCAAAAATGTTTGCCCTCAGCTGCTAAATGTTAGGATTAGTCAATACCAATTAAATAAGCCAACTTTTTTTACATCTGCACTGAAGTGTCTTCATGTGTTAATCTGTTAATGACCATGCTCTTTGCTTTTTGGCTAGCTGCTTTTTGATTCTGCTTCTGCAGAAGCTAAAAGAAACGGTACAAATTTGCAAATTCATCTTCCTGAAGATAGGGTGATGGTGTATGTGACATGCTGACCACAACCTCCCAACTGGTTAACGTGTAAAAGGCACGGTAAAGGAACAGAGTTCTTGGTCACTGCATGGTTACCATCTAATATATTGTAATTGCGGAACTTTAAATTGGACATAAATTAATGTAAAAGTTACAGTTTAAGGTAGGGGTGGGAGGGGGGTGTGTGAAACAAGATTAAATGTCTTGGGATGGCCGTCAATGCTGATTCTGCTTATTGAACATTGTTTTTCCTCTCCAGTACTGCATTTTTACAGACGTTTACATCAGAAGAATTGCAAGTTCTCCATCTGAAGGATGGAACAAAATAATGAACAGATCCTATATTGAATATAAGTAACTGCAAACTAAGTCCATATTTGGGCCTTGTGATAAACACTATTTCATGTTTTTGGCCAGCAATCTGAATGCATGTGTTCAGTGGAACCTGGAGGAGCTAGATACTTTAATTCTATCCTGTGATATGATCCATCGGATGGCAGTGGTACCAAGATGTGGCAATAGCACAATCCACCCTAATCACAGAGTTCCAGTGAAAGGTTATTGTTCCATCAGTGTTTGCAAGCCAGGCTAGTAGCCAGGGACAGGGCAAACCTAGAACACCAGAGAATAGCCAAGAGAGGGTCACTATTACTGCCCAAGGTCTAAAGCTGAATCCTCTCCATCAAAAAGGGGAGGGGTGTACTATGGCACAGGGTGCAACAGGCTGCTGGGGTAACACCTCTTGACTTTGTAGTGGAAGAAAGTTTGACCCTCAGGTTTCAGCTATTTCTCTCACCCGTTCCAGTGTGGTAACCTAAATCAGCTACATATTGGAACCCTGCATATAATTTCAGATGATTAATTTAATTTTTAAGAAGTTTTGTTTATATTTTTAAAAATTTCCAGTTGATTGCCCTTTGTTGTAATCTGAGTCCATTGATTAACGTTGGTCTTCCTTTTCTGAGCTCAAAATTTTGCATGTGTCTTAAATATGGTGCAGCTCGCAGCCTAAAGGATAAATTTCATCTGCTTTTATTACTTATCTGGGAATAGTAATGCTACAGTCAGTCTTCGAATCGTATTATAAGAGGACTTATTCGTAGTAAATTCAAGTTGTTGTGTTCCTGTTACTGAGTAAAATTGCACGTACTTGAAATTGGTAGTATGGCATCCAAAACTGAACCAATTAGGCACATTATGCTATTAAATGTACAAGGTAAATTACATAGAAAAACATGATGCCTTTTTTCTTACCTTTCAAATAAGGTAAAATAACTATAAATGGAATTACTGTATTGGATTTTTGGTTTGTTCTAACAAGGTACCTGCCTGATTCCTCTTACACCTAACCAGTGGATTTCTGTAGTATGGTAAGCTGAATTGTAGATTGACTATTTCCCACTAGGTCTTAAACTTGTATTTGATGAACATGTCAGGAGAGCAAACAGACAAAAGCTGGAGCTTTGAGAACATGTAACAAGACTTGTGTTGTAGACTTCTGCTCTATGCACACGTCTCAGATCTAGTCACATGCAGCTCTTTCTTTGCACTAACTTGAGTAACCAAATATGGGTTTGAATCAAAATATTTAACATAATTTACTATATAAAATGCTGAATTCATACTTAAATTCCTCAGTGCAGCCATAACTTCACTCAGAGTTCACATACACATAAATCAATTATTGACTTGCAATTTTAACTTTAGGAAATACATGTTAGTAATTTTTATGTTAATTCCCTAGAAAGTTACTGACAGCTATCCTTTAATCTTTTACACAACGTATCAACATTTGAAAAACAGCTGTGCATAATGAAAGGACACTCAGAGTGCAGTATTTCTAGTTAGCCAATAGCTAATCCTGTGAAAAGTTGTGTAGTGTCAGATTAGTGCTGCGCTTCCTTTCCTCCTTATTGGCTGGCTTGCTTTATTGGGCACAAAGTCATTAAATGCTTATGTCTTACGGTTTTATGGTTGAAGGCTGAAACTAGCGTGAAAACCTGAAATTTTGAAGATTGTCACAGATTCAAACAGGAAGTCATGACGTAAACTTCTTTCAGAGCTTTTAGTATGCACTAGACTTAGACACTCTGCTTGCCTTTTCAGAAATTAGTGTCCCATTGCCATTTGTTCTTTTCATAAACTGAAATCTTTCCACCTAGCGTTTTCTTTCTTCCTCTCTTTTCCTTCCATTCTTAAAGCTACCTCTACAGCATTCTTGACTACTTCTAGCTTAATAGGATTTTAACCTAAAATGCTTTTCCATTGTGCAGCCCTGACAGGTTGCAGCTTCTATGAAGCAATTTGTTACTCTTGTCAGTAAGTACACAAGCTTGGTTGCCCTGTCTTTGGCACAAGAGCAGTAAGGGCTGGTGAGCACTGTACTCTGCCACTTGACCTTACAGTTAAGGTGCTTTAAATGATGTAACATAAATGGCATGAGTATACAGGTGCTGCAAGACTTGTACAGTGGGTTACATACTCTCAGGCTGCACAAGGAGTACTAGTACTTCATAGAAGTTGCCTTTGATTAGACACTGAAACGTTAAGTGAAAGCAACTTTTGTGAAACACTTTTACCCTTCGAGAGAGTATCCCACTTCAGTAGGTAGTACTGAAGTAAAGCAGTTACTGTATGAGGAAAAGAATAAATAGGAAGTTTGGACTGTTACGAGTTTCCATTAAGTAAAGTTGAAGGCTTAAGAAAAACTAAGAGAAATCTTGAACTAGTTGTTACGCATTT